CTTAACAAACCTGCTGATAAGCAGCACTGGCCCAGTAATCTGGGAGACCTTTCCTTACGCAAAATATTTCCTCTTATCATCCCCATGAAAGTAAATAACCATTATGTTGGGGAGGGAAGCACAAAAAAACTTGCATCAGTGCACAGCTAATAATACAGGTGATCTGATGGGAAATTGAAGGGAATCATCTTCCTCCCAGTTTATCCATGTCATAAAAAAACAATCTCCCTAAAATGGCATCACCTTCCTTTGAGAGAAGTCATGGTTGCACAGTGCTGATGAATGCCTGGTGGCTGTCTTAACATATCCATGCCTAACGACATTCACAGCTCAAGGGCAGAATTTTAAGGAGAGTTTAGGTGGATGGCAATTATGGAGGACAAACAATCTTTCTTAAATGTGGCAGAACAAAGACCAGAAAGAAATAAATTGCTTAGCGGGAGGCAAGTTGAGAAGGACAGCTGAAGGAGACCCAGACTTGGGAATCGGTGCCTTGCTGACGTATTCAAACAACTATTGCAGTGTGGTACCGACGGGCGGCAAGAAATAAACTGTGTGGCAGGAAATTTCATGCAAAAATGCAGCAATGTATTCTCTTTTTGCGGTTTGCGCTCATCCCTGAATGCGTTACAAGCAGAAATGGAAAGGTGTATCTCCTGCCTTTTTGCAAAGCTGTTTCGGCGGCCGGATCCGCAAAATGTGTGGGAGCTGGCGAGGTAAACGGGTGGCATCTGACAGCCTTGCAGGCTTCAAAGCAAATGCCCTTTAGAGTACGGGTTCCCCTCCTGGCTCTCCTGCTTTCACCACGGGCAGTCCCTTACCGAGCCCTTTGAGGTGTCCCCTCTCTAGGGAGGACTGAGGGGGGAGCTTAACATTTACATTAAATTACTTGGCATCAAAGAATACCACTGGCTGCCCCCCCCAAAGACTAAATGATTAAAAGCAGCTTTTACAGGACAGCGAAACACACATTTGTATCAGAGGTGCTTTGCTTCTCATGGCAACCTGTGCCAAGTCACGGAAAAACAGATTTTAATAATTCATTAAAATTCAGTGCGTGCTATGCTGGTGTCAAAGCGATTTGCGGGGTATATGTTTTACAGGGTATATATGCGCAACAGAGATGTTTCCTTGTTAATTGTGGAAGAAGCTAGTGTTCTATTAGTAGTTTTTAATGAGAGAAGATTATACAGTGATTTTAAAGTCATGTTTGGAATTTGGTGAGCAAACAGCAGCCGTTCTGTAAGACTGCTGAGGGAACTCTAAAGAACAGACAGAGGCAGGAGCACCGTTTGGGCTCATTCACAAGACATCAGTTGCTATTTCCCAGAACCCATAGTGGTACAGTTCTCATTTTGATTATAGATCAGTGAAAGCTATAGACTATGTCAGTACAGTAAGCAGAACAGTTTTGCGATTCATATCAAGAGCATTTTTCAAGAACTGACCATAATTTGAAGGCTTTGCTAGATAAAAGAGAAAGCCAGCTTGCTATATGAGAGATACTGAAGCACAGGATTCTGTGTGGTCCGATAAGGAGAGTGGCTGTACACTAGCTGCCCCATAAAAAACGTCTGACTGCCCCCGCCCCCCCCGCCCCCAAGCATGTCAAGCTTACGGCAGCCTGTGCTGCTTCCGCTGTGTTTTCCTCACACGCTTTCTCTGCTGTTCCTTAATTTTGGTGCTATAATCGCTGGTGTTGATCTGATTGCCAAAACCCTGGTATTTCAGTAGTTGACTTGCCCAGATTTTTTTTTTCCGGCAGAATTTCGCCAGTGATTTTGCTTTATTTCTCAAATGCCGATGTTTGGTAATGAAAAGGGGAAGTGAGGCCTTCAGAGTTCGGCATTTAGAAGAGTACATAAATACTGTGTTTTTATTTTTTATTAAATTAAAAGATTCCAAAAGACAGTTTCACATACAAATAAAATGTATGTTTTATGTTTTCATTTATAGTAATTTAAAAATTTTAGCAATCACAACACTAAGCTCAACGTTTTTTTTTTTTTTTTTGCGGAAATAAAGCTCAAAGAAAATAACTTTGCAAAAGGAAGCAAATCCTGTGGACTATGAGTAATATGTATGTAACTTCATTATTACGTCAGCTACTTTATTTGAAACACCATCATGGGTAACTTTATATTCATTGAACCGTAGAACAGCACAGGCAAACAAAACGCAGGACAGACTTGGCACTTTGTGTCAGAAAACCGTCTGGGCTTTCAGACCAGAGATACCATGTTACACTGTCCAGAAAAAGATATATGCAGAGATGAAAGTGTCCATTTCACAACTCACTACGTCATTTAACTGAAAAACTGAAGGTTGAACAAATATGTTTCATAATGAAAGAAAGAGGGTTAGGATAATAGGTTCACAGTGCCCTCTAGTGCAGAAACACCTTATATTACACTGTTAGTATTGAAAGGTTATCGTTAAGGCTTCTTAATTCCATGCACTGAGATGGTCAGCAATTAACTAATGCTGTCAGGGTTGGACTAGGTTTGAAAATCTGCCATAGACTGTGTCCCCCACAATGCATTTTGCCACCCGACGTACTCATTACCCCCCCAGCATGCCAGATGGCCAGTCCAGCCCTGAACACAGCTTAAGCCTTGATAAATAATGGTTACCATCCATAGCTGACAATGATATGTTTAATTAATAAATGACAACTGAAATGAGAATGCGGTTTTTAAAAATGAGATTTGGGGTTTTGAATTGAATAAAGATAAAGATGCTTTATTGTCCTTGTAAGTACAATGAGATATAGTTTGGAACGCGCCAGCAGATGCATAGTTAAACTTGTAATTAAATAAAATCCGAGGCATAAAACAGAATCCGAGAATAACATATGTACACACTATATATATATATATATATATATATATATATATATAGAGAGAGAGAGAGAGAGAGAGAGAGAGCTTGGTGGGTGAGCAATTCCACAGAGGTACAGTTTATCGAGTGGTATAAACACACATTAGGGTATAGGGTATACATTTGTGTGGTCTAATTTAAAAATATTATTGCTTACGACCCAGTTTTGTGGTAAAACATCCATTTTCCAAAAAATCCGAAAGACCAGGAACTCGTAATCTTATCTCTTTTTCCTGGTCCTCGTTGAAAGAAACCCTCCACATCATTGATGACAGAAGAATCTGTTCTCATCTAAAAGACAATCCTGGGGGAAAAGAAGAAAAAAAAATAACATTTTAAATTGTACTTTAGCCCTGAGATGCAGGAGATGTTGAGCTGGTCTTTTGCCATCTGAATACCAGTGACTTACTGTACATCTATCAATATTTCAATAGCCTGGACATGGAAGAGTCACATGGATGGGGAGCCTGGAGCCAATCACAGCCTCATATTAAGGGCAATTTAGGGATGCTAGTTTCCCTACTTGCAGGTCTCTGGACTGCGGGGGGAAGCTGGACTATGGGATGGATATTGGGACAGGAGGAAACATGCAAACTACACAGCAGGGTAGAGACAGGACGCCACTCCCCAGCCCCAGCTAGTGCAATGTGACAGGACTGCTCTCAACGTGCTGCCCCTTCTGGCAAATTGGCCGACTTAATCTTTAGCATACAAATGATATTGTTTTGCTTCAAATTGATAAAAAGCAAATATCTAAAATGTTTGTTTTTTTACTTTATGAATGATTACTGACTGGGTTGTTAAACTGATATAAACTGCATCCAAATCAGAGTAGGGAATAACCCAGGGTGGCGTGCTAACTCATTACCCCAGCTTTCCAATTACCACAAATTTCTACACATATATTTCTACACATAAATCTATACATAATCTATACATATTTTTCACATAAATATTAAATGATATATAACACAAGACACAAAAGAAGATATTAACCATTTTATTCTGTTTTGTTTTTGTTTGTATTGAGAACAACCCAGTATGGAAAAGGCGTTTGATATTATATATTATTAGACATTATATTTCATGTACAAAAACTCTGCTTATTAGAATGGTACATCTGCATTGCACAAATATATATATCATATTATTTAAAGATTGTGGAAGGTATGTATCAGGTGTTCTAAGGATAATAATCCATGCAGCATTTGTATTTTCGCTCAGTTTTCCTGGCTCTGCAGTGTATAAAATCTAAGAGCAATCAGATAAAATTTGTGCATTACTGTAGAAAGTGCAATAGTGCTTAGTAGATTCAGTGCCGGTTAACCGCGTAGCCAATGCGCCGAGTTAGCAATCCAAATTCATTTTGTCTCAGGCGGGGGAGGCCGGGTGTTTTGACGATTTGAGCTACCTATCGAGACATGCTATCGAGCCTTTCTGCGCATGTGCTGTTCCACCGTTTTAAGATTAGGGTTAGGTTTTAGGGGTTAGGGTTAAGGTAAGGGTTTTCGGGGTTTTTTTGGGGGTGGGGTATCGATTAGCACTACGGTAGCCTAACTCGACAGAAAACCGGCAGTGAAACTCGCCGAGGACGCTTCATGGGCTTCGGCCTGTGCCTAGTAGACTTTCTTTTTGAACGACTCTTAAGGGAACGAGGTGATCTCGCTCACTGGCATAATAATCTACAGATGCCTGAAAGATTCAGTATGGTTAATGTAATATGTAACACGTAGGCCTAATATGCCCCCCCGCCCACAACCCCACATTTATGCATGGGATGTATGTACGGTATTTTAATTATACATATAAACCTCATGCCCCCCCTCCATGTTTGACCCAAAGTTACGCCCTTATAAATACTGATTATGATTTATAACTTCTAACGTATAATTTGAGTACCGAAATTTAATGGAGTGTACGTGTAATTAATTTTAATGCATGTTTATTAGACTGTTTGAAAGATAAAAACCAAAAATTGAACAATTCTTTTAGTTGAACGAACTCAAAATAACCAATCCACTGGAAATAAACCTCCTTTCCATACGTTGACCTCACCAACATGCCGATGAACCCGCCCTGCGTTGCGCGACCTTCTTCCCCGGAGGAGGCGGCGCGAGGTTATTCTAGGTTAGCTGTAGTGACCGGTAGGCATATTCGGGCAAATTAAACAGGTGGATTTGTTTTTTAAGTCGGACAGTTCGAAGAAAAACTATAAAACTGAAAAAAAACCGGAAACAACTTTTATCCGGATCGGAAAGAGGCGTAAAGGAAGCTGACAAGATGGACGTTGTCGCCGGCGCGTTTGCTCGCTGAAGGGGGACGCGTAACTGAAGGCGTCCAGTTAGCCATCTTCCAGGGTTACAGCAGCTCGCTGTCGGCGGGGAGCGCAGGAAAGCCCGAAAGTTAGCGGTAACTGACAAACTGCGCGTACTTTTTAATCGTCTAAATCAGTCTCGTTTCTCTGGGGTTCAGAGCGGGGGTCCCTCTGGCGCTTCGTGACACGTTGAGAGTCCGTATCCTGCTTAGTTAGCCGGTTAGTTAGCGCATCCGTAGTCCGCTAGTTAATCACTTGATTTAGAATGACAATCTAGGTTGACAAGCGTAGAGCTCGATAACAGCATGTCAGGCTTAATTACAACTAAACAAAAGTTAAAACTCGGAATAAGGACCGAAGCGCGAAGTATTATTTAATTTGCTAGTCGGACCAGCCCCCGGAGACAGGCGTACGCATAGTTTTAGTAGCAAGTTGTTGTATATAGGGTAAATTCGCATGGAGTCGTTATTTTAATGAACAGATAGAGAATAAATTTAAGAATCAAGAAGTTAATACAATGCGAATTTAGAATTGTCGGGTAGCAGGATACGCTATATAATATATTTAACTGATGCAACTTGCAAAGCCACTACATCTGAAATAATCAGCAACTTTTTAGTTACGTTATGGGCACGCCATTAATGCACAGTGGCAGAATCTGAAAGCTTATTGCTGCCTGTGTTTTTTTTAGGTCGAAGAACGAAATAGGTGTTAAATATTTATTTCCTTTTTCGTGGGTACAGTCGGAGACAAGCTCTACCTCTATTCATAAAACTGCTAAAAAAAAAACATATTATCGGGACGAACACAAGAAGATAAGCTTTAAAGTTAAATGTCCTAGATTTGAATGAGAAGAGTGACAGGGGTCAGATCATTCCCAGCGTATCACGACTGACTCAGGACACCATGGGGGAGTCCCACCAGCCTGACTCCAATGTGAAGGTCGCCGTCCGAGTCCGGCCCATGAACCGGAGAGGTGAGTGAGCTGGGACGCCGCTTCTCAACGGCCAACCTCCCTTTATTGCCTCCTGTAACCAAAAATAATTTTATAAGTAACTTTATGCATATATTAAGGCCATAATTGTTTTTATGCATAACAAGCTGTCGGATTTCTGTAATACCAGCCACCTGTAATCACTATAATCACAGTCCAATGAAAGTATTTACAACTTGGATTGCAAATTCATTAAAAAAAAAAGAGCCCCTCTTTATGTCAAATATGCATTGTAAATAGTATTTTTTGATGTTTCACTTTAATTTTTTTTTTTTTAAGAGTTTATGTAAATATTTTGTGTTGAGAATCAAAGTGGAACTTCCTACTGTGCCCCATACAACAGAACAGTTAATTTATTGCTCATTTTAATGTTGGGTATAAACAGGACCGAGGGAACTGAAATTTCATTTGTTTCATAATGAACACAGGAGCATGCAAACATTAATCTGATACTTCATTAATGATCATACTATAAAGAGACATGGCTGTAGATCTGACTGGAAAATATTAAAACAATTTAACATTTTATTTATGTTACACTGTACTTTGGTTTAACAAGTCTGACATAAGGGTTCAATCACAATATCAGAAAACAGAAGTGACTTATTTAAAATTCATTGCTACCTGTTACAAAATGAACCATGCAAGTGTAAGGAAGACCAAAGATTGTCTAAAGGGTTTCTACCATTTCCTTGGTTAATGTCATAATTTATGGAGAGAGTCACCAGATTCCGTTAGTAATTAAATATGAGTTACTATTTTAGACTGTCATGTGCTTTCAGAATGTAAACAAATGTGTTACCCTGTGATGTGCCTTACAGTGCATTCATAGAAACAGAGTGTTGTAGTAGCATTAAACTTCTGGTGTTACTTTGTTTGCTAATGTTTAATGGCCTCTGTTGGAGCTGGTCTGCCCTGTGCAGACAAAGGCAGGAAGGGAGACGGAGAGCTAAGGGCTAACATTGCATAACTGAGCTTTTCCCATGTCCACAAAGCTGTGGAAAGGCAGCCCTTCGGCTAGCTGTCTTCTTCCCTCAGCCCTTCGTTCCTCTTGTTCTTCAGCTTAATGCCACTGTCAGCTTTGCAAGGTGTATTTCTCTGATTCTGTGTGTGGGATTTTCCAAAATCGTCATGTGTATATGGATATTAAATTGAAAATCATAGTGGGTGGGGGGGGGATACATTTGCTTTAGCTGCTGTTTATAGAAATGGACGTAATTCAAGTTATGAAATGAAAGCATGGTGGCCTTTGCCCCCCTATATTTTTGACTTGTAAATAAGGGAGTTCTTTGGCTTCGTGGTGTATGGAGGAAGCCTGTGTTTCCTCCGGCAGCCAGATTCGCTGCAGTGGCAACTCACCCTGGTCACATGACACGTCCTCTTGAGGGGGTCATGATTCAGTCTTGTTTCCCTTCAGCTAAATTCTCTTTGTCACCGGATTTGTAATGTGGAGAAATCATCACAGGCACTTATTGAAGTGATAGTTATTGGTCTATGCACCATCTATATGTTTTATCATTATAGTCAACTAAGGTGAAGACACAGCTGCACTCAGACCCTCAAATGTATGTGGAATACAGTAAAGCTGTCATAAATTAAGACATCGTTTATTACAGTAATATTTTTCCATTTAGCAACAAAATACAAAGTCTTTTTGGGTGGAAAAAATGTATTAATTATGCTTCAGAAGTAGGGCACTTCACGCCATATTCTAAAAGAAGAGTTTGTATCTAGATTGATTCCCCCTGTACCCATCGTTAGGCTGTTGGTAAATTGTTCTAAATTGCATCCAAATCAGAGCTGGACAGAAATGTATCATAGTTTATTAATGTATTAAATTTAGCTTTGTCTTGCTTAATACATATTTTTTTTTATAAGCTTATATTGAAAAAGTGATCATATAGGTTAGCACTGTGTGCCAGGTAGAGGTGTAACGGGATATAAATCTCACAGTTCAGGACAAACCTCAGTTTTGTGTTCATGCTTCAGTGCAGTTTCAGTTCTGCAGTAAAAACAGAATTTGTTTTGAAATGATTTATTATTCAAACTGCAAACACAAACACAATTAGGAACAATTGTAAACCAAAGGCAATGCATCCGTCAATGTAATTGAATAACAAAATGCAATAGACACTTATTTGTACATTTTAAAAATAAATATGTAAAGCAAAAATTCAAAAATAAGTCTGCATCTTAACAGTCATAATCTTTAAAAGCTTGAAGCTTTCGTTGTCTGACTGAAGAGATTTTCCTCAGAGCGAGTCTCCTGCCGTTAGGATGGCACATAGGCTGACGACATGTGACCTGACAACCCTTGTGTCTGCATTTTCCTAACACGTTCTTTGGGGTTCCTTTATGCCAAGGCATAGCTCTGGTGGCTACGCCTTGACATAAAGCAAATAGAGCAGTGTGGCGCTTTTTCTCTAAAATGATGCATTTTGTCTGCTCCCTTAACACAGAGAAGGACCTGAATACGAAATGTGTGGTGGAGATGGAGGGAAACCAGACCATGCTGTACGCAGCCAACATCAGCAAAGGAGACAAGTAAGCAGCGTGCTGGGAAGCTCGGACAAGCGGGTCGCTACTTAATAAATGCTAGTAGCAAAATCATCTTGACAAATATATACAGTCATCGGCGACGATTGTATGATTCTGACTGCGGACTTTGTTTTCCTTTCCTGTTTTTAAGTTCGATTTCTATGACAATTAAAAAGTGCATCTGCTCTAGTGCTACTATTAACCAGTGGAGGGAATTCTCCTTTTGGCCTCCGGTTTGAGCTCATTCTCACCTGCTGAGTGTGAGACAAGGGAAGGTGGCTGTGGGACAGTGATGCGTTTAATTGTCCACCCAATTGCCTGCCTGCTGTTTTCCCGCCCCTTCCCCCATGCTGTGTGTCGGGCGTAATACTTCTTCGTCTGCCCCCAAACCTCCCCAGCAGACTTCAGTTGCCATAGAAACAAGGAGGTTAGTTCTAGGTCATCAAGAGCTATAGGACCCTGGTCTATATATTTAAAAAAAAAAAATGTATCATCGCTGCACGAAGAAAGCACTGGTGCAGTTTCATATGTAGACCTGCCATATTTGGGTTAGGCTGATGTGTAGATGTGTTTAACATGCTGACAGTAGCATAGTTGACTAATAGGAGGCTGACTGATATTCTTGTATGTGTGTGTGGCGATCCGTTATCACACAACTAGCGTTGTTTTTATAGCACATTCTGTAGTTCTGGATGATCATTTATAGGATCATGCTGTGACATGCCTCTTGTTAACCCCAGACAAACATCCATTTTGTGGTCCTGTGTGACCTACACTGGTTAAATTCCTAAGGAACTGCTGTTCTAATCTTAAGCCAAGTGCTAAACCCAAATTATTTTGATCAGTTGTCTATTGTATGTGTGTAAAAGTGTAGTCTTGTGGCTGTTTTGCATTTGCATTAGTAGTGAAAGATAATGCATATATTTGTGCTTCTACTGCAGATATCAGGTAGAATGCCTTTGTTAATGGTGCAGTGTCAGAGTCGTGCATTCAGAAAAGACATTCTGCACACTGCTGTTGTGCTGAGCTGTTATTTTTCCACTTGTGTTTACATTATGAGCTGCCCAAAAGCCACAGCTCGCTATTATGCTTTCAGTGATTTTTATATGTAGAACTGTACCTTAGTAGGTGCATTGGAATAAAGTGTTTGCTGAGAAAAATGATATGGGGAGGAAAAAAAGAATCCATCTTTTCAAGGCACCTCATAGAAGTGCAATGGGCTGAGCAGGAAATCTGGGGGTAAAGGAGTCTTATCTGTTGTGGAAGCCACAGCTAAATAGGCAGAACGGGGATGAATGTTGTCATGGTCCAAGCTTTCAAGAAAGTGAAACCACAAAGGCGTAAGGTAGATAATCTCCATGGAGAAAGAACTCGGAATGTTAACCAGATGCGACAACTGCATGGCCCATTGTGATTCCTGTAAATGCATCTAGTTTTAGAATATTTGTTGTTTTATTACACTGAACTTGTAATATATATCTTTTCTAATGGCCAGTTTCTTGTTTTGTGTGTGTTTGTCTACATTTTCAGTTTGATTATAAGATTCAAGATTTTTTTATTATCAGTACAACAATATACACAGTATACAGTGTATTGAAATGTCGTTCCACACAGGTCCCCCATGGTCTGTTATAAAGATTAAAAAGACATACAAATAATAAATTCTAGCTAAATTTTTATGAATAGAATACAAAGTGGTCATGTGCAATTACAGTGCAAATGAAAAAAACAAAGATGTGCCAATTATAAAAAGTGCAAATTTGGCATGAGGTGGACATGTTTGGCAGATATTCAATTGAGGTGTGCAAATAGGCATAGTGTGAACATCCAGAATAAGAATAATATTTTGGGAAAATGAATAGGTAGGACAGAAACTGTTTTGTACAATTGCAGCTATATACTGGAACAACAACTAATCTGGTAATTACCTTTAACATGATTGTGTTCATGGAAATCAAAACATTGGTGCTTCATGTTTTAACCAAACACACCTTGGTTAGGTTTGTGAATAATGCTCTGATGTTGATTTGTTAGTGTGGTTTGACACACAGAAGAGGGAGCTTGTCTGTTCCCCCCAAACCTTACAAAAATGTTGCAGATCTTGAAGTCAAACAATTCGAATTTTTTTTTTTTTTTTTTTTTAAAAAGATTAACATTTTAAAATATCTGTTTGGTTGGCCAGACCTTGACCTAACAAACTCTCCTTCCAGCCCGTGCTGCTTATCTTTGTCTTTGGCTTGCTAAGGGTGTTTCTGTTTGCTTGCGTAAATGTGTCATGCTTGCTAATTCATTGTGAGTGCTTACAGCATATTTATTTCGTCCCTCTCGCTGCAGTAGAGAAACAGCTGCCTGTTAAAGATTTAGCCGTTTCTTCTTGTGGCGTCAGAACTACTGTATCTCGTGGCTCAGTTTTCCGGAACTTAATGAAAGCATGAATTATAGATGAACTATAGAAACTGTTTTGAGCTCAGTGTTGGTAGGAGAAGCAGACTCAGATATGCGTTTGGCAGTCCCTAATATCATGCATTTACTTCATGAATAAGTTCTGATAAAGCATTTTATATCATTCGTCAGCAGCCTCTGATTCATACCAAATATATCCTAAAGGGAACATCATAGAACCTTTTTTTTTTTTTAGTTTAAATGCCTTTAAAAAAGGCAGATGTAACATGAAGGATAAAATATTTATTGGGGGGCATTAGTTCCAGAGTCCCAAATTTGCCACTGGTGATCAATAATGATGCTTTTTTTGGGGTTTGATCTTACCCATGTAGGATCATAGTATTACAGTCACACCTTGTGTGCCTCTCTCTCGTGCTTATGAGTCAATTAAGTATGATATACCCAGTACTTTAATATAGGCCATGGTTTGGAACATAGCATTGTTATTTGTATTGCCTAGCCATTGATGCAGAAAATATATATTTTTAACTGTTTTGTCCAATTGTCCAACTTTAATCTTGATCCCCTTTGTTTCCGTTGGTTGCTTTGTGGCCCATGTATCATATGGACAGGTAGGAATTTTATGGGTACTACATCACTATTCGTTAGAGATGCAGCGATGCGATATTTGGATGGGTATTGGTGCTGATCCGGGCCTATTTGACGGATCGGGTATCGGCTATATGTGACCGATCCACGTCCGATACTTACTTATTTAGGTTTTGCAGTCTCTACAAAGATAGCTCTGATTTCCTGTACAATCAATCGCACGACAAGTCTTTCCCGTTTTAGATGTGATTTTGTGGCATTCAAGCTGAACGTTAATGCTGCCCCTCAGTTTTTCTGCCTCTCAGTGGGTATAAGTGCAGTGACGTCCGTCTGCTGTGATGTCATGCGCATACCCTTCGCAGTAGGGGGAGTGTAAGAACATCAGATAAAAGGGTGACAATCTGGGGGTATTATATGCTTTTAGCAGCAACTAGTAGCACAGCGATTTGCAATCTTTCCAGTACCGTTTACTGGAAAATCCCACTAAACAAAGCACGAGACAATGCGATTAATATGAAAAATGCAGTGGAAGATTTGGGAGTCGTTAGGTTAGCCAGTTGTTTTTCTGCCTGAAAGTTCTACTGTGACACTCTTGATATAACTAGGTATGTACCAAGTACAGCTGTGGATCAGTCAGGGTGTAAACTGGCATGCACTGATATGTTTTGTTATGAGTGTCGCTAATTGTTTAAAAACCAAAATGTTTGATATGGTGATGCTGTGAGTTCTCAACACAGGCTTTAGAATCTATGGCTGAGTGTCATAGGGATCAGTGCAGTGTGCCCTTGAATTAATGGGGGCCTTCATGCAGATTAACACAAACACTTTAGGCTCAGATGTTACAGTATTTGTCAGGAAAATCAGTCATGCTCAGTCCTTTCGTAAATAAAGCCTTTTGTTTTTAACTTTTAACTAGAACCGAAATAGGGTTATGGTTTTACACTCTTAAGTATGAAAGGGTCTTGTGAGAGTATCTAGCTTATAGTCCGAGAGTGTAGCATTATGGAGGGAGGACAGATCCGGCGGCGTGTGGCAGAGAGCAGAAATGGCTTTTGATTTGCACTAGTGCCCCTTTATTGTGGCAGTTCACAGCAAGGAAGAGTTTGCCGGCATTTCCTTGTGCCTGCGGTGTCAAAGATTTTCAAACACATCAACCTTCTCTACCGTTACATTCCAAGTCATGCTAGAATCAATAAAACCCAAAACTTCATAGGACATCTCATTATGTTGCTGTAAGAACTAGGTTTTGTGAAATAAAGTCAACAAATTGAGAAAATAGACTTTCTCTGCCTTGGGAGGGAACATAACGTCCTGCCCCAGGTCACCTCGCCTATGAAAAACGTGGATATCTAACAGAAACCAAGAAGTCGTGTCCAACATGGTTTCAGAGGGACACTTATACTTGCCTTCAAAACCATCGAAATTCAGTGTGGTTTTTGTGCCCATTTTTTTTTTCACCCTTGAACTAGTGTAAATTATGAAATTGAGATGTTGGCAGCTTTCTGAAACCTTTCAAGTTGGAACTAATTGTATATGTTTTTGTGTTTTTGTCTGTGTCTTGTGCTTATGCATAAGTTTCAAATTCTGTCTCTCACCCGCAAACTTGACCCCCCATGCAGACACCCCCTGACTGAAGTTCGCCCAGACAAATGCCACAGGGGGCTAAATATCTCTGTTATTTCTGGAATGTGACTGCAGGAGACCCCATCGCTCCATTACTATACACTGAACACTTTGTTTGCTGCTCCCCGACTTTTAGTTGAGAGGATGGGATTTGCTGGAACAGAATGGACATATTTTTCCTGGTCCTTTTTCTCTGCTGTTCACAGTAGCGTCATGAGGTTACGGCCACTTTTCTGTGTCTGCGCTTTTGTCATCTGTGCAATATTTGCCCTCGGGCTAGTCGTCACAGACGCTGAATGTGACATGTTTATAAAGCATAAATAAAATTGCTATAATTAGAATTCACAGGGGATGTGATGGAGGGGAGAGAGTGGTCTTTTATAAGAGCACTATGGCTGATTGACTAAGGTGAAAGAACACAAAGGAGTATATTTTAGTGCACTTTCTTTTAAAAAATGGGGCTTTTTATAATTTTGTCTTAAAGAAAATATCCCTATTCTTCAAGATGGTTTTGATAGAAATAAGAATATGATTATGACTATTGTCCATTATGTATTATATGAATCTGGTATTCAGGGGAAAAACTGCATATAGGAGAATTGTTCTGCAATTGCTAGTTTGTGTCACTGGAGGCTCATCTTTGCATTAGCTTTGTTCTTTAGGGAAATACTTATTCATATCAAACTGTACAGTTTAACTAAATCATTAAAAGTCACTTCTTTTTTGCCCATAATTCATATGGAATTAGGTAGGTTTTTGATTGTACGTTGAAAATTTGGTGCTTTTAGAGCAATTGTAATAAAAAATAAATTAAAATGCAGCAGTCTTGTTTAAAAGCTTTTCAAAAGTTTATACTGAAGGTCACCTTCAGGAAAAACACAATTACAATTATAACAAATCAGTATTCATAAATAAAGAAAAGCAAAACATGAGCCATTCCTGCATAAGTTTAAATCTGAACTGTAATTATGATTACCACTTTTACACGTAAGGGGTGATGTGTGAAAGGGAGGGTTTTATTGTGAGGGAAGGGGAGACAGTTTCCAGTTTCTGGCAATGAGTAGCGTAATGCAGAGCTCCCAAGTAACACATTATTTTATCAAGCTACTGGCAGAGGATAGATGCGTGCCGTTTATTCCTCCGGTGTACTTGAAAGCTCTAGTTACACATTATTGCTTACAGCACAATTACATTTCCTAACACTAGGTTGAATCTTGAATAATTATTTACCGTGTCATCCGAGCAATTGAGCAAGCTCTTCTTATTGACTAATCGCTTGTTTCTGTTCAGATTCGGCAAACAAAGTACAGTTGATGACATGGAGTTGGATGGCCCGTTACAGGGTCCTGGTTTCTACTTCAGCACATCCTTCCTGATTAATTCTCATTGCAATTTCGAACAGCAATTCCACACAATGCATTGGCGTGCTCACAGACAATGGAATCTGATTGTTAATGAACCATATTAAATGCATGTATTTCTGAGGACATTCATTTTAATTTAATGTAATGTTTTGGATATCTTGTATAACATTTGAAAATGTATGTATTTAATTCTGAGGTGAAAAATGCATTAAATTTCCCCCTCCCCTTTTCCCCCCATTGTGTGCCCTCCTTCCCAACCACACCAGGGGCCAGCCTAAGGTGAGGCCTTAATATTTGCAATTTGAAGTAATGCATACTGTAATTTTTAAAAACAGGCTTTGGTTATAAAACTTGCATGCATTTTATGAAGCTGCTAATATTTGTGCTTTAGTTAAACATGTCAGTTTTGCTTTAATCAGCCTGTCCTTGCATGCATTTGGTTAACATATCCTGCTATAACCTTGTGTTTCTTCTCTGTAGGTTTTTGCATACGACCACTGTTTCTGGTCTATGGATGAGACAGACACAGATAAATTTGCAGGTCAGCTTTAACACACCATTTGTGTTTTATATTGAGAGGGGATACATTACATTTTAGTTTTTTTCCCCCTCTGGTATTCTCTTCAAAAAATATGGCTTGCACTGTTTTTGGTGCTGTAGCTAGTGGGTAATAATTAACCAGAACCTTACCTGGAAAGGCTGTAAAATGTTATATATGCTTAACTATTAAGGTTATATCTTAAAGTTGCATAAACATACAGCCAGTGTGGAACATCTTTCGAATAATGTATTTCTTCACAAAAACAGTTCATGATTTAGTTTTGCCTAGGGGTGGTGTTACACAGTGAAATGCATACTGCACATCACCTTGGCTTGCTTAAATATAACCAGTGTACGATCTCTGCTTTAACATTGGCATTTGCCTTATTTTGCAGGGCAGGATGTGGTTTTTCAGTGCCTTGGGGAGAGTCTCTTGGACAATGCCTTTCAGGGCTACAATGCTTGCATCTTTGCATATGGACAGACTGGTATGGCATGATCGGTGGTGGTGGTAACCTCTGTAGATCTGGTGAAAAGGCTGTATATGAGAACGTTTGCATGCACACTAAGAAAATCGAATTATTGTGTTAGTCTGACTAAAACCTGACTTTTAAGTACTTATAAATATGTTAGTCCAACTGAATTGGAACTAAAGGGCGCTTTTCCACCGCACCATTGTACTTCAAGGTCTTCCAGTGGCGTAAAAACTAGTACATCACAATAAGAGCCGGGGTTGTTTTGTAGAGATGCACCGGTCCGATTCTATGATCTGTATCGGCACTGATCCAGACCGATTTGACGGCTCGGTATCGGTGCCGATCCAGACCTATTTGGCGGATCGGGTATCGGCCATGCATGACCGATTCACGTCCTATACTTATTTAGTTTTTGCAATCTCTAAAAAGATAGCTCCTATTTCATGTTAAATCTATTTGCACATTCAATCGTAGGACAGCTCTTTCCCATTTTACATGTTTCTTGCGGCATTCAAATGGAACGCTATCGCTGCCCCTCAGTCTTTTTTGCTACTCAGTGGGTGTGAGTACAGTGACTTCCGCCTGCTGTGACGTCATGCGCATACCCTTCGCAGTACGAGGAGCGTAAGATGACACGTGACGATCTGGGAGTATTTTACGGTTTTAACAGAAACCAGTAGCACAGCGATTCGCAATCTTTGTAAAATAAGGTTTTGA